GACAAGCGTTCATTAGCCTGAAACCAGTGTGGAGATCTTTTGCACTGCACTCAGCATGTGGAACAACATCCGGATTTTCAACACCAACGTCAGATCAGTGCTTCCATGTGATGGTTGAGAGACTTGGCGCGTTACGAAAGGGATTCCTAATAAACTACAGACATTCATCAACAACTGCCTACGATGGCTCGTTACTGAAGATCAGATGAGATGGCCAGAATAATAAGAATAAGCAACAAGGAGCTCTGGGAACGAACCAACCAAGAACCTATCACGCAACAAATATGCACTGGAAGGAAGTGGAGATGGATTGGGCATGCACTGAGAAGGCCGACTGAGGACATCACGCGTCAGGCCAGTTGCTCGAGTGGAACTGGGATGGGAAGCGACGAGTTGGACGTCCGAGAGTGACATGGAGGAGATCGTGCGAGGAGTAAATGAGAGCTTGTGAGCTGTCTTGGAGCCAGGTCCAAAAGATTTCTGAGAACAGAGTTCTCTGGAGACGAGCTACTGAGCCCTTTGTTCCACTAGGAACCCAAGGGACTAATAATAATAATAATAATAATAATAATAATAATATTCTCAACAGTTGTGATATTTAAATCTTGTGAACTGCGTCGGAATCCTGCATAAGCTTTCCTACATCATTTACATATATAGCAAAACACAAAACAGAATTTGAATTGACTGTCAGACATATTTCAATCAGTGCTAACATTATCACTCCTCTTATCTATCCTTATTAACGTTTTCATCAATTACAGAAAATAATTACTATGTAGTGCCCCCCTGCTGTGTTTTGATTCCTCCTGTAGGTTTCCTAATTGACTAATCAAACTCCTAGACCGATTGTCTAGATATTCTATCAAGCCTACCTTGACAGATATAGGGTGGTGAGATGATGTTAAATCCATATTAGATTTATTCAGTTCATACATAGCGCACAGTATTATTATTCTAATTATTTGTCCCTTGGGTTACTAGTCGAACATAGGGCTTTAGTAGCACACCTCCATTGAACTCTCTTCTCCCCAGTCTTTTGAACCTGGCTACACAATTGCCCACAAGCTTTCATTTCTTCCTCACATGATCTCCTCCATCTCAACCTCGATATGAACGCCAACTTGTTCTTTCCCACATAGTTTCCATTCGAGGGCCTGACCTGGCGCGTGATGTCCCCAGTCGGCCTTCTCAGTGTATCCCCAATCCATTTCTTCTTCCTTCTGCTGCATATTTGTAGAGTGATAGGTTCTTGGTTGGTTCGTTGCCAGAGTTCCTTGTGGCTTATTTTTTCTCGCCATCTGATCTTCAGTATCGAGTGAGCGTATGCAGCTGTTGATGATATGTCTCTAGTGTGTCGGAAGTGATTTTCGTGACACACAAAGTTTCTGAGCCATACAGAAGCAATGACTCTACATTAATGTTGAAAATCCGGATCTCGTTGTTTGTGGTGAGTGCAGTAGATCTCCACACTGATTGCAGATTAGTGATACAGTAATATTTACTTGATGACCACATTTCCAGCATAAATTATTACTGCTCACAATCATGTCAATGGAATCACACTACCATCGACATCTGATCTTCATAGTCCTATCACCTCATAGTCTCTGATTTTAATGGTAGTAACATTTCCCATATCTCCAGTACACGTGTTGCGTCATTCGTATCATATGTGTTGGGTGTTGCTTAATTCGACGAACAAAGATTCAGTAACAGATCCCCGTCTCTCTCTTTCTCCACCAAACTATATTGTTAGACTTGAGTACAGGAGTTTCATCCCATCTACCATATTGTGTGGTTGTGTATTATTGTATGCATTGCGATAACGGAGTGTTTTTCTACATGAATGACCCTATTATTGTGGTCTGTCATTCTACGTTTAGCTGAATTCCCATGTTTCGCTGTTCTGACTGACCCCGACCACCTGGTTTCACCTACGTACTTGGGCTCGTATTCATTATATGGAATTTAATAGACTAGATTATTGTTCTGAATTGTTTCTTTCAGTTTCTTAGCGCAGCCAACGAAGCTTGTGTGAGTGTGTGGATGACGCATTTACTGTGTTAAAATCGGAACATATCGCCTATTTCCTCACGTATATAAACTCAGTAGTGGATGCAATCCAATTAACTTACGGGATAGAAAATGATGAAGGGGAATTACCTGTTAATAGTGGATCGTGGCTAGCAGTGGAATCCAGGATGCGCATTTCGTCCTAATTGGGACTTGTCAGCTGGACTTACCTGCTCCCCGATCAACGACTGTATGATATAAAAAAATTATGCTAAAAAACTATAGCCATCGCACAATGAGTGGCTATCGTGGCCCGGTGGTGTAGTGGATAACGCGCCAGCATTTAGAACGATAGCTCCCGAGTCCGAATCCTGGTGAGGATAACGTCACTCACTGAGAAACAGGTACATCTAGCTGATGAGTCCCAAATAGGACGAAATGCGCATCCTGGATTCCACTGCTAGCCACGATCCACCATTAACGTAATTAAAACGCAGGCTGTATCGAACATCAGGAAACCGACACATTCTAACACTTATCGAGACTTCAAGTCATCTCTAGTCCAATATCAGTTAAGGCAGATTTGGTCAAATGTCTAAGTGGTTGAACAAGAAAACTCACCAGTCAGTGCAAGGACATAAGCGATGACTTGAAGCACATGAAAGAAGCTCTGGTAACTAATAATTATCCTCTACAGTTTATTAAGAAATTCACACGAACATACAAAAAACGAAATAATAACAGTAAAACAAGTACGAATAATGACAACAACACGAGTAGAAAGGAGTTCACAACCTCCATTATATTACTCTATAAGTAATGCAAACCAGAAAATTTACATAAGATCCTCAAGAAAGCTGGAATTAGGGTTACGCTTAGACCTACAAACTCACTCAGAGATGAGCTTTGTCGACTGGCCTAAAGATGCGAATGAGGCAATTCAGCAAGAGAATCCAATCTATCAAATTCCATGTAATGACTGTTATTCAGGTGAAGTACATAAGTGAAAGTAGACCGGCTGATCGGTGTCAATTAGAATAGTGGAACATGGGAATTCAGCTGAATGTAGAATGACAGACCCCAATGATAGGATCAACCATGTAGAAAAAAGAGCTCGTCCAATGCAGTGGATGCATTAACACAACCACACAATGGGATGAGTGGCATATAACCACTATACTCACGTCCAGCAATAGGAATGGATGGCGAGAGAGACGGGGATTGATTACTGAATCTTTGTTTATCAAATCAGCCAGCATCCAACATATGTGGTGTAAATGACGCAACACCTATACCGGAGATACACAAAACTTTACTATTAATAAGACAGAGAATATGAGGTGACAGGACTATAAAAGTCAGATGTGGAAAGAACTGTGATTACATTGATATGTTTAATGAGTAATAAGTAACTTATACTTGAAACGTGGTCATCAAGTAAATAATACTATATCACTGTGTGTTATAAATCAAATAACTAAATCAATTATGGAACTAAATTCTACCACAGGGTACAAGTCCTAACTATTATTGACTTCCTCGTCTCTGGTAACTTCAATTCTGATTACCCCAATTACCAGATTCATTAATTTATATGTATACAGGCTCAACAGATCGAAATTGACCATTGATGAATTCGATACAGCAAAACAATAGGGAATTCGGAGGTCAACAGTATTATGAAATGTTCTTCTGTCTCTCAGGTAGTATCGTTATATATCAAATAGAATTACAGTTAAGCAGATTTTATCACCCTATTTGTAAAGGTATTTAGCCATACTACTGATAAATTTGTTGAAAGATTCAGGTAAATTTATTCATTTACTGCACAGAATAGTAATGACAATTGATATATCGACTGATTAGTTTTGAAGAAGTAATTTGTCAGCTGATTCAACACTACCGACCTCGTTCAACAGCTATATGCTACGTTATATGATATTACTTGCCAAGTGATTCACAATGCAAGGCTCAGTGATGTCTTCGAAGTGAAGACCAGGGTAAGAAAAGATTGCCTATTATCACCGATTATCTTCAAGAAGGTAGTGGAACGGACCATGCAACAAAATATGAGAAGTGAGAAGATGGACAGATGAAAAGACACCACGATAAGATTTGGATTTCGCCAACGATGATGATTTATGTCTGATGTCTTGTCGCATAAGCTCGAAGATCTATTGGCGAAAACTAACAAGATGACAGAAGAGATGAGGCAACCAAGGAGGCCGAGACTTCAGGTGAACATAGAAAAGACAGTGGTGATGAAGACGCTCAACCAACAACAACAACAAGCACCAATCACAATCAACAGGAGAAACCTGAATGAAGTTATCTCTTTCACCTACCTACCTAAACAGCATCGTCTTAACTGCAGGTGGCGGTACAGATGACGACGTCGAAGCCAGCACCCGGAAAAGTAAAGCAAAATAGGCCTCCACTAATCTGAAATCAGTGTTGAGATCTACTGCACTCCACTCAGCATAAAGCCTGAATAGCATCCGGATTTTCAACACCAATGTGATGGTTGAGAGACTTGGTATGCTACAGAAAGCATTTTCAACAAACTAAAGACATACATACATCACATCAACAGCTGCTGACTATGCTCACTCGACATTGAAGATCAGATGACCAGAATAATAAGAATAAGCAAGGAGAAACTCTTGCTGGCTGGTAACGAACCAACGGACCAAGAACCTATCGCGATGTTGTAGTGAAGCCCTTTTTTCTACTATGAACCCAAAGGACAAATAACAAAATAATATTAGACAGTTTTCGAGAATACTGGAGCATATTTCTCCTCTTTTAATCTTTAGACATATCAGCTTAGTTATATTTTCAAGACACTAATGAAAATGCTTTTACCAGTTGCCTATCTTATGTCTTTGATAGGTAGATACACTTGAAGTTGGATAAACATATTATCAGTAATAACCATTAGCTTGTATACCTACATATTAAAAAAAAATGGTAATAAAACTTACGAGATACTGACGTCTCCAAGAGATCATATGCGAAATTGTTGTAGTTCGACTGACTTTTTGTGTAGTCCATTTCAATTACAATGTTAGCAATACCTTCCGCTTTTTATCCACAATATTTCTTGTTATATAGATTAGATAAACAGTTGTCAGTTCATTAATAGTAATTATAATAGTATTAATACTATATGACATTTTATTTATGTCACGTAGAAACGATTACTTAAGGACAGATAATTAATGATTTAGATTACTTGTCTAACAGAGTTTATCGACATGTTGTATTAAAGTCAATTTAATGCAAGCAGATATTGTTTTCAAGAAATTGTTATAAATAGCTAATTGAATCAACACTGATATAACTTTCTTCGAAAAAAAAACTAAAGTGAAATCAGTACAATATGTTCATTTCAATGTAACATTGAATATGAAATCGATGTCATAGGTATATGTTAATTTAAGATTTAAGAAAATTCATTTTTGAGAAAGTTGTGGGGATTTGGAAATATTTCAAGTTGTTAGACTGACATCAGTCGCAGGAACAATTAAAACCTGAGAGAACTGGACAGCTGTTTCGTCCGACTAGTATAGGACTCCTCAGCAGTGTGCACCCACAACCCTATCAGGGTAGAAACCACGACTTCAGGTTCCGTGGCCAGCACGTCATCATTGAGCCACTGGGTCAGAATCCACTGGTCCATATTTCCAACTTCTGTTAGCTCACGATATAGCGCAACCACCACCGAATGTCATCGTTGAGTAACTGTCCTCATGACTATCAGGCTTCGCCCCCGCTGGCCACGACTTCTCATTCAGAATAACTCTCGAAGCTAATCACCAATGAGCAACAGTTCAACTGAATTTTGAAGGAGTTGTAGGTCGCGGGTTCCACCCCTGGGAGGGGGGGGGGGAATCGTGGGTGTGCACGGCTGAGGAGTCCCGTACTATGACGAAACAGCTGTCCAGTGCTCCCAGGTTCCCTTTGTTCCTCCAACTGATATCAGTCTACGATGAATAACAACTTGAAATTCATTTTTGTCTTATTTAGTAGTCTAGATGTGAACGAATGACTTAGAACAGAATTTATTGGTCATAACCAATGATTTATCTTGTAACGCGTTTATTTTCTAGCAAACCTTATGGCTGGCTCTTGTGAATTCGTTGCTGTAGACATAGCATTGAGTTGTGGAGGAGAAAGTGCTCAACTCGACTATATGCGAGTGAAAAACTATCTACTTGATGTTCGGCTGAACAGATCTGCAAGAACTAAGAGGGGTCATGTGACCAATCTCTGCCTACGCATCCTCCAACTGTAATCCAGATAATGCAAAGGATATAACTGGAAGTGGTGAAGAGCCATCAAAAGAGAACAAAGAAGAATGAGACAATAATGATTAAGATCAGGATAATAAGTGGATATATTTGCATCATTACGATGGATTCTGAGACATATCATCCACAGTCTTCAGTCACCAGGTTCTGTTGTAGCGTGAACTCCAACCAGGAAGTCTGCATTCCCCTACACAGCCCAGACCACTAGTTAGAGATCTCAGGGACTGGTATCACTCGTTATCTTCATCTAAACTACGTCTGCCTTCAATGACGATGTTTCACAATCAGGCAGTAGAACATAGTGAACAGCAACGGAGAACATTGGACTCAGTATGTTATTGCATATCACAGTGGTTCATTAAGTGGCGCAAGTTGGAGAAAGTTGATCGAGCCATATGTATACGTTCAGAGGTTTTGTCGGTCACCGACTCATCATGGCTGCTGTGACTTTCCAAATAAGTGAAGTGTTCAATACATTACACACTCTACTCCTTATTGTGAGGCAAGACTTCACCGAACTCCTGGAGCAGCAGTTCACATTTCGATGATTAGGAGAGCATCACAGACATTCTCAAATCACCCAGAAGAATGTATTATTCAGTGTTTCCACCTAACAGTACTATCATCTGAGTACTCTGGGAATACCAGGGAGTCCTCTGTGATAAAATCCGTTGATCTTAAATTGGACGACAAGAGACAGATCTCTATAACTGCATCTCTGAAAAAAGTAAGTGAGAATGAAGAGCGTGGACATTCTTGATGGGTATCACTGGACTTGAACAGCTCATCTAATAAATCAATGTAGGCTATGACTCATCTATGGGTGTTCGAACACAGGGTCTATAACAGGTTAATTTACTTTTCCGGCGCTTCTTTCTGTTAGAGACACTGCCACGAGACTCATCGATCAAGGGAGTCGAATGGTGCCCTCATTTAGAGAACTAAAGCTGCTGTCGAAGAGTGTGCCTAAATTCCGAAACCTAGCAGAAAGCGATGATAAGGTCACTAACAGTGTTTCGAAGCATTATAGGCGTACCAATTCTTTCAAGCAAGCTCTTAAGAGTATCTTATTGTAATGGGCAATCAATACTGAAGTATGACCGGGGAAGTCCAACTGCTGCAGCAATCTTTGAACAAAGGTAGCCAGTAAGTTTAAGACTTTGAAATATTCACTTGGAGACTATGAAAAAGGAGATATATCATGGATTATTTCACTCAGATTTCTTTTCCCTAAATAAGTGTAGAACTTGGTTACTGTGGTCGAATGCAGTTAAAAACTCGTTCAGTTCATATGATGAAGTATTATTTACTTGGTGACCACGTTTCGAGCATAAATCATCATAATCATATCAGTGTAATCACACTACTTTCGACATTTGATTTTTACAGTACTGTCACCTCAAATTCTTGGTCTTGTTAGTAACAAAGTTTTCTGTATCTCTGGTACAAGTGCTGCGTCATTTACATCACATATGATAGGTGTTGGCTGATTCGATGAAAAAACATTCCGCAGCCAATCCCCGTCTCTCTCTCTCTCTCTCTCTCCACCACATTAGACTATTGCACTTCAGTACAATGGCTTCATTCCACACAGTATATTATATGCTTCTGTGTTAATGCATGCATGCATTTTTTTTCTACATGACTGATCCTATCATTGAGGTCTGTCATTCTACATTCAGCTGAATTCTCATGTTCAACTATACTAACTCACACCGATCAGCTGGGTTAGTTTCACTTATGTATTTCACCTGAATAACAGTCATTACATGGAATTTGATAGATTGGATTCTCTTGCTGAATTGGTTTATGTCCGATTCTTAACAATGCTAGGATTAAGGTGATATTTAAAGCCACAAGTCCATTCTCAGGATTCCAGATTCAGTAGATCCATTCCATTAGAAAGAAGCTTCATCTCTCCATTACCATACATGTAATGATTGTGAGATGAAGTATGTAGCTGATAATCAGGTGATCAGTGTCAGTCAGCATGTCGGATCACAATCGCCTGATGAAATATGCAATGGTGGATCACAGTAGGATAAATAATTGAGTGAAGACGTTGGTTATCGCTTCATATACTCTGACTCATAATTACACTATAGGATGTGACAGGGTGACTAATTGTGAAATCCAATGTTGCTGTGTTGAGTGAGAGATTCATGATAGAATGCCTGTTCATTGAATCAACATGTAACACATATGTGACATGAATGGTTGATTACATGTTGTGGATATGTGGAATCTGTGACTGTTACTGAAGTCAGAGAATGAGGATATTTTGTGATATAAAAGGGAGTTAAGCAAGTTGTGTGATAACTTTGATCTGAGAGTGAGTATTAGATTTTGCCTTGAACATTATGCAGTAAATAATACTGTATGAGTTAGTGTGTGCTATATCAATGAAATTAACAATCTAATATGGAATTATGATCTACCTAAGTGCCAAAGTTTTATTTTTACATAAAGAGAATTTTCTTAGAATAATACCTCAAATGAAAACAAATTACTATTCAGGGAACCACATGTGACCAGAAACTGAATATTGTTCGTAAATGATTTTAATTTTAATTTACTCAAATAATTCGGATCTCGTTTGAAACCTAACAATGATTATTTTCATATTCTCTCAGTTTTTCTGATGCAGCCCATAGTGATACAGAATTATTATTTACTAGATGATGCTTCGAATAGTATTTATTGTTCATAATCTCATTAAAGGTTGCCTACTATCCCCCATGATATTCCTGATTGTGGTCGACTTGACTGGATGATGCAGCAAACAGTGGGGAGCTGTGAGAAGAGAGGGACACACTGGCTGGACTGCGAAAAGAACCTAGAAGATCTGGATTTCGCCGATGACTTGTGTCTGATGTCACACAAACTTGAAGATCTACAGGCGAAAACTAACAAGTTGATAGAAGAGGCAGCGAAGACGGGACTTCAGGTGAATATACAGAAGACAGAGGTGATGAAGATACCGCACCAACAACTCCAACAACAACAACAAACTCCAGTCACCATCAACGGCAGAAAATTAAAGGAAGTAACCTCCTTCACCTATCTAGGAAGCACTGTTTCAACTACAGGCGGTGGCACAGACGAGGATGTCAAAGTCAGAATCGGAAAAGCAGGACAGGCGTTCATTAGCCTGAAACGAGTGTGGAGATCTGCTTCACTGCACTCAGCATGTGGAACAAGATACGGATCTTCAACGCCAATCTAGTCAAGTCAGTGCTTCCATGTGATGGTTGAGAGACTTGGCGCGTTACGAAAGGGATTTCCAACAAACTACAGATATTCATCAACAACTGCCTACGATGGCTCGTTACTGGAGATCAGATGGCCAGAAAGAATAAGCAACAAGGAACTCTGGGAACGAACCAACGAAGCAAGAACCTATCACGCAACAAATATGCAGTAAGAAGTGGAGATGGATTGGCCATGCACTGAGAAGGCCGACTGAGGACATCACGCGTCAGGCCAGTTGCTCGAGTGGAATCCCCATGGGAAGCGACGAGTTGGACGTCGGTGTCGAGGGTGACATGGAGGAGGTCGTGCGAGGAGGAAATGAGAGCTTGTGGGCTGTCGTGGAACCAGGTTCAAAAGATCTCAGAGGACAGAGGTCCCTGGAGACGTGCTACTGAAGCCCTATGTTCCACTAGGAACCCAAGGGACTAATAATAATAATAATAAATAATCTCATTAACGTAAGTAATCAAACAATTTCCTGAATTAATT